CAAACTCCTCTTCAAGGAATTCTGTCACTATAGGATGACAGTCGCATCAATCCATATGATGTCTAGGACAGAGAAAAAATAATTGAAATATAATCCCACCCAAAAGAGCAAAGAAAAGAATCTAATCTCAACCACTAATTATCAACAGAGCAATGAAAAGAACCCTTTTCAGATCCTCAATTGATCCATAAGGAGACATTTCAACACGAAAGGCTCAGTCTTGATCAAGGTTTAAATTAAAAAAAAAAAAAAAGAAATAAAAATCACTTTTGAGAAAACTAAACTTTTAGCACTAAAATAGAACCCAAGTATAACAACCCATTCCTTTGTTCAGGTAAACACGATAACCAAAATGAACAACATAGAGAAGAATAACGTACCATCAAAATATACAGTCAAGCAAACGATGAGGTTTGCAAAATAACATTAGAACCAACCAAAGAATCTTAGGAAAAAAAATAATAAAGAAATTAAAAGGGCTAAATTCAGAAAAAGAAACAGAATCGTGCCGGAAAGTTTTGTGTTAAACTTTAACATCTGGAAATGCCAAAAAGAAGGTATTTGCTTTTAAATAGGTAGGCACCTGACTCAAACTATAGGAGCACGGTGACCTAGCTTATATGGCATGAGTGCGACCCCACAACACGTTGCTAAAACCGCCCAAACTAGCTTTGCTTTATGAAAAGAGCAATGCTAGGGGCACTCGCTTTTCGCACTCTCCGGTCAACACTTTCTCTTTTATTGGGCCACGTTATCTTGGTTCCCGAGAAGTTGCGCTAAAAGCTTTAAAGAAGCTTACGTGGCCCAATGAAAGGGGAAGTGTTTGCCGGAGAGTGCGAAAAGCGAGTGCCCCTAGCATTGCTCTTATGAAAATGGGGTTCCAGGCTTCTAGCATTCGTATTTATCAGTTAAAATGATTATATAATTTTTTAATAATTTTATACAGTGTAATTTTATTTATTATTATTTATTATTAATTATTTTTTTAATTACACTAACCCCTATAATGA